CCTGTCTCAAAAAGACTAAAAAACACAGAGCCACAGACAGTAAGATCCAGAGAGATTTGGGAAGTAGGAGTCAGGGATTAGAATGTATGTGTTGAGCTGGGGATATAGCTCAGCAGCATCATAAACACCTGCCTGGCAAGCACAAGGTTCTGAGTTTGATTCTCCATACCAAAACAAAAACAAAAACAAAAATCCTGCATTCTAGAGAAAAGCTTCAGCAGATGAAAGTGAGTGGAACCCAGATGTGCTGACACCTACCTGTAACCTCAGCACACTGGGAAGCTGAGGTAGGGGATTGCAAGTTCAAACCCAACCTAGGTAGTTTAGCAACTTAGTGAAAACCTGTCTCTAAGTAAGAAACAAAAAGAGGCTGGGATAAGGCTCAGTACAAAGGCCCCAAGCGGGTAAGAGACTAAGGAAGCTTGAGGAGCATTGGCAGGGATGGGTGCAGGGTCATCTCAGCTCATGGAAGGGAGGTAGTCAAAATGGAGGACACTCCCTTTCCAGGGAGGTCCCAGCCTGAGGACAACCCAGAGGGGGAAGCACTCAGAGACCAAGGGAAGACCCCAGAGACAAACACGTAGAAAGGGAAAGGGGTGAAGAGGACATCCCCCCAAGGGTAAGAGGGCTCACTGATCTGTTCTGTGGGCAGCTTAGGCCTCCTCAGAGCTGCAGCTGGCTGCCTACAGCATCCTCTAGATAACGCTGGGAACCTGGAGAAGATAAGCGCCCCAGCAGAGGCAGAGGCACTCATGGAGCCTGGGCCCCCTCCACTAGCTGCCTTCCTGCCTTGTCCTAATCCCCGGCAGAGCCGGGGGTTCAGAGGAAGACCTGGTCCCAGGACTGAAACTACACTGTGCCTTCCCAAGGCAGAGGGAATCCAGCCTTCCCCTCCCCTCTCAGCCCTGCCCAGCAGGTGCCTGCTCAGGAGACACTGGTGACTTCTGAGACAGGGTGGGGACACTGGATGCTAGATCTTTCTTCAAAGCCATTGGTGACATGTCCTTGAGCAATGTCAAGGGTTTCAGGGCAGTGGTCCCCTCTCTCTGCATCCCTGGACCCTCTGCTAGGTCTGTTCTTTCCACTCCACTCCCTTTCCCACCAACTGCTCACCGGCCCCTCCCCACATCACCGACATCCCTAGCCGCCAAGAATTCCAAACAAGAGGCCAGTTCCAGGCCCCGTGTTTATCTCATGACAGGCTCTGTCATGTCAGAAGCTGCCCCTGCTTCTGACCCCCTGCCCTGCCCCCAGAGCTCTGCTGAGAAGATACACTGAACAGGGATGCCTGGTGGACAGGCCCTCCGGGGCTGGGGTCTGAACTCCTGGAACTTTCCTATTCTCACAGCAGCCTGAGCCCAAACAGGTGGGCCGGACATAGAAGCTTCCCTGGCTGACTTCTTAAGCCCTTCTCAGCACCCACTGGTATCTCTCACTCCTTCCTCTTTGCAAGTGACCCTCTGTTCAGCCTCACCAGACCCAGGCACTGCTCCCACAGCTACAGGGCCAGGGTGTCAGATGCAAGCCCTCTCCCTTGCCAGCGTCCTCAAAGTGGAATCTTGGGGAAGGGCCTGCAAGGAGGACAGGAATAAACAGTGCATGGGAGAGGAACTAGAGATCCAAAAATGAAACTGACCTCGAGCACGTCATAAACAAAGCAGGACCTACTGTAAATAAAGAGTGGGATTTACCATAAACAGAAAGTGAAGTGGGCTCTGAGTGGAAGGGGCCAGGTGGTGAAGAGCAGTCATGGCCCCTCCTCACGTGAGCAGGGGGCTCAGGAGCACCTGGTCCAAGGAAAGGAAGGCTCAGGACAGGCACCATGAGGGACAAGAGCTTGCCACTGCCTGACGTCCCACCTCCAGGGAGCTGAGCTGATGGACTTTCCCAGCAGCAGCAGGGATGGAAGGCAGACTTGTAAAAGGACTTCCTGTGTCAAGGGTGTGTGTAGCCCCACCACCACGTCACCAATCCTTTTTATCCTCAAATCCCCACCCTAAATCCCACGAGGCACTGGGGGCATCAAGGAATCACCCCAGGGGAACGACTCAGAAGCTGGAATCCATTCCAGCCCCAGGGGAGACCAAGTCCTATGGGGAGCAGTGTGGGGAACGGGGCACAGCAGACATCACCAGCAGCCCCGTGAGACAAACACAGAATCCAGAGGCTGCCAGGTTGAGAATCCCAAGGTAAAGAGCTCTTTCTACCCCCACTTCTTCTCTTTACCCTCCCTCACCTTGCTCTTCTTCCTGTCTCTGTTTTCTGCCTCCTCTATTTTTCCCAGGCTCTGGTGGCATCTACACTTTCTCAAAGCATCAGGTTCAAAGATAAAAATGTAAGTCAATCCCAGAATTGCTCTCATACATCAAATGACCAGTCAAACGGGAGCTGTGGAGACATCTGGCATGCATAGGATTTGCCTGCCTGTGTCTCTCTGTCCCCACCTGGTCCCACTCTGTCCCTACCTGGTGCACACAGACTCACACCCTCCCAAGTCCAAGTGCTCTCACCTCTGTGCACATGTCCCCACCTCCATGTCCTCCATGCATTGGAACTCCAGAAGTCAGGACAGGATTGGATGCTAGATGACCTTGCAAAGGGGTCCAGGACCCTGTTTTCCTAATCCCTGAGCATGGGGATAAAGAGGAGGGGAGAAAGGGAGCTCATAAATCTCAGATCTTCCAAGGACCAGTAGAAGGTGCAGATACTGGGAGACCTTTAGAGCCATGACCTACCCCACACACACACCTCGTAATTACTATTCATAGTGCGCAGCCAGGTGATTAATGACCTGATTAATAATTACTCAGGCTAATAAAATAATTAATTAATTTGGCAAGCCATTACTTATCTGTTCATTTTCAGCCTGAAACTCGGCAACTAGGAGTTTGGGAATCTTCCCTCAAGGCTCTTTCAGAAATGTGATCATTAAGGTGGACAGAGAAGGTCTGGGTGGCGCCGCTCCATCCTGAGACCCTCCCAGGCAGGAGAGGGCAGATCCTGAGGGTGTTCAGAAGAAGCAGACTGAAAGCTGACAGATGGCCAGCCTGGCACTCCAGTCCCAGAAGAGAACTGACCAGGCAGGCTTCGGACATTTTGGGGGCAGGAAGCACATAGTAAGCTTGGGGGCAGATGTATCTATGCACCCAGGTTTGGGGAATTCTTGAATGTGTTCTCTCCAGCAAATGATTGATGACACCATTTTCAACAAATGATCTGTATCTCGCCTCTTGTCTCCCAAATTTATGATTTTTCCCCCAAGCTCCAGGGGAGACAAGTGAGGGCTGAGCGAATCCTAGGTAGGGGTGGGCAAACCTGGAGTGGGATCTAAGAGCCAGTGGGAACCCTTCTGGATTCTGCAAGAGAAAGAAGCTTCCTGTTTCTGGACTCTGTGTTGGACATAGGTTTAGATCCCCAGAACCATTCAGGAGCATCTGGAGCACACACTTCTCAGTAGAAAGAGCAGCAAAAAGCAACAAGAAAGGGGGCAGCTGCGTGACCAGTCAGTGCTGTAAACAAGTGGAGGCATCTCTGTCACTTCCAGGGTGAAGGACAGACAGGAAGCATAATGCCCCATGTGTGGGGCTGAGGTCCCCACCAGTGCTTCAACAAGAAGACCTACACAGCACTCCCATTAGGGGCCAGAATAAATAAGCTAGAGAAGCTCGAGTTCTAAGGGGAAAGTGTACTTACAAATAGATAACACCCAGGATAAATGCCATAAAAAAGAGATGTATACAGGAAGTCCCTGACTTATGAACATTCAAATTGTGAACTTTCACAGATATGAATGGACTTCAAATTATAAGCATGCATAGTTGCAAACAAATCATGAGTAGCTCACGTATCTGCTGGACATTGCCACAGTCCCAGTAGATGTCCCAGTAGCTGTGCTACTGTGTGCTTAAGTACAGTGCAAGTGTACAGCAGTGCAGTGCTCAGGGCCCAAGAAGCCTGGAAGCAAGAGGAAGAGCAGTGGGGATGTGGAGGCTGTACTTGTATTAAGGCTGTATAAGTCTCACTTTGTCACTAATGAACGAATCCAACTTATGAAGTTCTCCTGGAATAGAACTATTCATAAGTCAGAGACTTACTATATAAGGTCCATGAGAACACAGAAGCATCATCCTGTGGGTGATAGAAAGAGAAAATTCCCCAAGAGAAGCCATTAGGAACTCACAAAATAAAGACCAAAAACCATTTGCAAAGAGCTGGGAGCGCAAGCTATGTCTGGAGAACTGTATAGGAGGCAGGAGGCAATCTGATGAAATAGAGGCTTGGGCTCTGCCAAAGCAGGCCTGGATTACAGTCTGCATCCTTTCTTGTAAACAACGGGGAGCCAACGCAGATTAAAGGGGGAAAGAGCTGCAGTGGTGTGTGTTTTAGAGAGACAACTCTGGTAAAGGGAGAGGAGAGGAGAGATGGTAGACAGGGGGTCCGATTAGAAGATTGAAACATGGGGCTGGGGATTTAGCTCAGCGGCATAAGCGCCTGCCTTGCAAGCAGGCAGCCGTGAGTTCGATCCCTGGTACCAGTAAAAAGGAAAAAGACAAAAAAAAAAACAAAAAAAAAACAAACAAAAAAAAAGAAGATTGAAACATCCCAGGCTGAGAGCCTAAAGGATTGACGGGCCAAGACCAGCCAGTGGCCAGGGAGCTGGGAGCAGACACGTTGGATTTCAAGCTTTCCTAAGTCAATGTAGAGAACCTAATCTTGGGGCTGCTGGGTCCACGGTGTGTGCAGAGTTGGAGAGGAAATGCGGTACTTTGATACACACCCACTTCTAGGGCCTCTTATGGAGTTGAGGGATGGAGTCACTCAGAGCCACGTCTGCCTTCATGATCGCAGTCCAGGTTCCACCGAGCTGCGGCATGAGGGCCAGCTCCAGAAGAACCCTAGTAGGTAGAAAGCCACCCATTTGTTTGCCTACAGAGGCAGGGTGCGCGACTGTGCCTCCTGCGGCCAGGAGAGGGCGCGCGGGAAACGGGCCGCCATTTGGGACCACTGCAGCGAGGTGGCCGCCTGGGCCTGAGCGCCCTCTGCCGGACACCCGCCGGGCATCCCAGATCCGGCTTGGTCCTGGGTCTCAGTTCCTGGGTTTCTGGGCACTGACTAAGTGGGCTGCACCCCGACTCCCGGAGAGGGCTGTGATCCTGCCCTAAAGAATCAGATCCTAGGCCTGCGGCCCGCTACAAAGACCACGAACCGCACGCCAAGGTCCACTGTGTAGGATCTCTGACGGTCCTCTCTCCAGTTTTGCTTGGTCGCCTCCACGGACGTGGACCCTGCCCTCCAAATGCCACAGCGTACATCGCCTAGAATTCCCGAGTTTACAACTACAGCGGCAAAACGCTGATGCTTTCGTCTCTCCACGCAGTCCTTCCCCATCTAGGGAAGCAGATGAGGGAGGAGCATCTCCCCACTTCACAGATGGACACGTGGAGCCTTCACCCAGGTCGCACGATGACTACGTGCAAGATTGACACCCACAGCCCCGCCCTGGAGCTGCATTTGTTGTCCCCACTGTGAGCAACAAAGCGCGGCCCTTGCTCACCAGGTCACTCAGGAACATCAGCTGGAGGACCGACAGGACTCAACCGGCCAGCGAGAGCAGGGCCAGCTCCTCGCTAGGCTGCGGGGAGGGCGTTTCGGGGCCGGAGGTCAGGGTTGGGATGTGGGGGGTCTGCGCGGAGGTCTGTGCCGCCCGGGGCTCTCTCCCCACCAAGGCCGCCGCACCGGGCGGGGCAGGGCTGAGCGCGGGGCCACCCGGACGGCATCCCGGCGGGCGGCCAGGGGGCAGCACCTGGTCGCGAGCCTCCCGCGCCTGCGGCAGTGGCGGCTTCCGAGGGGGCGGGGCCGCGGCCCCACCTGAGCTTCCTCGATGCGCGAGTCTACCCCGCCCCACCTGCTGACGGGTCCCCGCACGAGAGGTTCGGATTACCCTTCACCCGGTGCTGTCAGCCAGGGCCCAAGTCCCATGAGGAAGTGCTTTCGGTGTCTGGCCACCTTTCCTCTCGAGGCAGCCTCAGCTAAACCCGACAAATCCTGGCTTCAACTTCCCCGTTTTCATGCTCAGGTCTCAGGTCTCCCTCCCGAGCCCGCATCCCTTTAGGGGTCCCGATCTTTCCTCCTCCCTCCTTCCACCGCCCGCACGATCCGATTCTGCTCACTGTCTGTCCCTCCCTTCTAATTCCCAGGCACTTCATATCAAAGCCGCTCACAGTTGAGGCTTCGAAGATGGCCTCAGTTTCCCTGGCAGGGAGTGGGAGTTGAACTGCCTTCCGTGGGCCCTTCCTGCTCCCCGGGGTTCTGCTGCACCGCATCTAGGTCACTTCTGGCTCCCTCGATCCGCATAGGACCCCCCACATTCATATTTTCTCTCTCTCTCTCTCTCTCTCTCTCTCTCTCTCTCTCTCTCTCTCTCTCTCTGTTTTGTTTTGTTTTTTGTTAATATAGGATCTCGCTCTGTAATCCAGGCTGACCTTGGCCTCATTATGTACTCCAGGTGGGCCTCGAACTCTTGGCGATCCTACTGCCTCACCCGCCCGTGTGCTGGGATTACAGCCACGCCCAGCCTTACCCCACATGTTTGAATTATCTCAGAAACATACTTTGAGCACCTCCTGTGTCCAGCCCGGAGTTCCCGCCCTGCGCCCAGTCTTCCTGGCCATCTAGGCTGAAGGACCGGCGGATCTAGGCAGCCTAAACTTCAAGGGCAGGAATCCTCAGGTTGAATACTGAAGGCAGCCGCGGTGGAGCAGGATCTCCGGGCGCCTGCGAGGATGAGCAGAGAGGGGACTGTGTTGGACCCGCGCCTCTCTGAGCCGGCATCTGGCGCCGGGCTCATTCCTAACACAAGGAAGACCCCTTGTGGCCATCCTGTGCAGAGCACGCAAGGAAGGAGGGTCCAGCTGCGAGACGAAGGTCCCCAACCCAGACTCAGTTCTTGGAAAAAATGGAGACGTATGTATTCCCTGGGGGATTTAGGAGTTCACGGTATCCCAGAACCCTTCGCCACATTCCCATACCCTTAATTCCCAACATTTGTGAGCTTAAACAAATCTCGCTAAACCACGAGGAAAAACAAACAGCAGCAAGTGTGATTGCGGTTAGACTGTCGGATGACTTCTCAAGAGACATGGAGCCGGGCGTGGTAACTAACACGCACGCCTATAATCCCAGCACTCAAGAGCTGAGGCAAGAGGATTGCCACAAATTCGAGGCCAGCTCGGGATACGTAGAGTTCAAGGCCAGTCTGACCTTGTCTCAAAAACAAACACAAAAAATGGAAGACAAGAACACAGGTTTTCAGACCCACTTCCCCGGCGGTGGGGAGAGGGCGTCCTCTGAGACTGGGACATGTGTGGGTTTGTCATGCGGGTTTATCGCGCCCTCCCGCTCCTGGGGAAGGTAGGGGGCTAAATCAACAGCGAGGAGTCAGGTTTGTTGGGGGCAGAGTCTTTCTCCTCTGCCTGCCCCTTACTCAAGGCTGGGACTGTGGGCGCCAGAGTACAAATTACTGGGAACAGGAAGAGGACCAACGTTTACCCCAAGACAGTGGTGGTCCTGACGCAAGATCTTCAAGACTTGGACAACTCATTTCCCCCACCTCCAACCCCATCCCCAACCCGGTCTGAATTTTAGGGAGCCTGGGAGCGGCAGGGATGCTGCACCCCTTCCCCCACCCTTTGCTCCTGCCCAAGCGCCGAGCTGGGGCAGCATAATTTACATATATTTACATATCCAGCTGCGCACAGCTGCATTCGGCTTTGGACCATAAATTCCTGGCAGGCAGCTGGGGGCGAGTAGGCCCCACGCGGGGCAGGAGATCTGTCTGCGCCTCCGCTGCGGCTGTGCTCGCCCCAGGTGCCAGCGGCTTCTCATGCCCCTCGAAGCAGCTGTGAATGCTATTCTGCCCCTCCCCGCTCCTCCTCCGGCTCGCGCCCCCTTCTGGACATCTGTCTGCCTGCACGATCTCAGGTCAACCCTGAAACCCCAAGCTCTCAAGTCCTCTGTCTCGCCGGACTCGACCTAGTCATGGTCGCCTGGGTGTATTCACTTTTCCCTGACACCTTAGGCCAAAGGCTTCTGGTCGGATTTTCTCACCAGGGCTGGTGCATGGACTCCCCAGTGGTAGTCACGCTTCTGGGGTTACCCTGCTAAGAAAGGGGTCTGATCAAATTCTACTTAAAATTCTGTCCACTCTCTTGGCTTGCATAATAAAGCTTATGTTGTTCGCCCTCGCCGAGGAAAGCCTCTTGCAGCCTCCCAGCACTCCCTTTTCTGATCTTAGCTCCGTGCCAGCCTCCAGCACACAAGGGCCTCCAGTTAACACCACGGCTGGCAGCTCTCACAACTCCTGAGCTGTCTCCCTCCGCCTGGCCACCACCTGCACCTTGCTTCTACCTGGACTGAGCTTCTACCCTCTTGTCTGCTTGACAAGTATCTCTCGAAAATGAGCACTCAAACATTCTTCCCCCACTGGACAGACCTCCCTTATTCCCTTCACTTTTGGTGGTTGGCAGTCTATTCATTTCTGTGGCCTAACATCTGATCATCAGAGGATGATCTCTCTCAGGACAGGTTCTATGTTCTTTGCTATATCCCACTTCCAGGTACAGAATTTAGAGCTAAGACGACACAGAAATACTAAGTGAAGCCAGGCATGGTGGCTTTTGGCAGGCTGAGGCAGGAGGACTGCTGTGAGTTCAAGGCTACCCTGGACTACATAGCCAGACCCTGTGTCAAACATGTATAAGAAATACTTGGGTCTGGGGATTTAGCTCAGTGGCGTAAGTGCCTGCCTAGCAAGCATGAGGTCGTGAATTTCATCCCTGATACCGCAAAAAAAAAAAAAAAAAAAAAAAAAGGAAAGAAATACTGAAGGGGGCTGAGGATATAGCTCAGCAGCACAGTGCCTGCCTGGTAAGTGTGAGGTCTTGAGTTCAATTCCCAGTACCAAATTTTTTTTTTTTAAAGGAGAGAGAAATACTTAAGGAGTCATGGGGCATAGTAGTACATACATACCTGTAATCCCAACATTGTAGGAAGCTACAAAGCAGGAGGATCTCAAATGTGAGTCCGTCCTGGGCAATTTAGTGACTTGGTGAGACCTGGTCTCAAAATTTAAAAACAATTTTTTTTTCAAAGGACCGGGACTTAGCTCAGTGGAGTCCCTGATACAGTACTAGAGAAAGAAGAGGGAGAGGGGCTGGGAATTTAGTTCAGCGGCATAAGTACCTGCCTTGCAAGCAGGTGGTCGTGAGTTCAATCCACGGTACCGATAAAAAAAAAAAAAAGAGGGAGAAAGAGGTGGAGAAGGCAGGGGGAAAAGAAAAAGAAAGCGAAAGCTCCTAAACAAGTGGATGAATGAGGTAAGCCCTTAAACTTTCAGGCTCCCAGAATGACACATACAGAGATGTGTAGGGCCCATCTAGCCCCAAACAGCATTTCCACATCTATGAGCCCATAGGAAACGCCTCCTCAGCACCTTTTGGGTCTTCACATATCTCTCAAAGGACCTCCGACTATGAGGGGTGAGCAGCCAGAGGTGGTGGTCAGCTGCTGTGCATGGGAAGAACACTGAACCGAGTCCAGAGGCTCGGCACTGCATGAACTTGGGAAAAGAGCTTTCTTCAAAGCTGCTTTTCAGGCATAACACAGGAAGAATACTGGCTACTTAATTGGGGCCTTGTAAGAAGTGAGTGAAAGAGGACAGGAAATACTCACTACATGCCCAAAGATGCTGGATTCCTTAAGATTCCAGGCAGGTTCCCCAAGCTTCTCCAGCAAGGTGGGTCCTGACTAACAGTTCGGGCAAGAGGGCCAGGGAATCTCGCCAGTGCACCTTGTGCAGGGACTGAGGGACAGCAGAACACCAGTCAGGCAGGGTGGTGTCCACCTCCTAGTGCCATCCTGCATGCCGTTTCCACGATGGCTACCAGGGGGCAGCACAAAGCTCCAAACTATATTAGCGCACCCAGCTGGGCTATGCAGAGGACCCTTCCGGGCCTTCCTTCCCCTGAAGACTGAATTCCAGTGGGCTTCTGCCTCCTGTGCCCACCATGGAGGGAACAGAGGGGCTCCACCCCACCAAAAAGCCCTACAGGGATCTTTGCTAGGCAACACAACTGGCAGTTACTCTGTGTGTGTGTGTGTCTACCTGTCTGCCTATCTGTCTGCCTGCCTGTCTGTCTGCCTGCCTGCCTGTCTGCCTGTCTGTCTGTGGCATCCTAGATGCTTAGAACCATTGGAAACCCCAGTCCTCACCCTCACCCCACAGATGGAGGGCTAGGTGAAGGTGACCCTGCCAAGATTCCTTACCCACCTGGGAGACACTCAGATACAATGCAGGCAGCCTTCCTTCCTGCAGGGCCTTGTCATTATCTCATCTTCCCTGACTTTCTTCCTTCTTTCTTTCTTTCTTTCTTTGTGTGTGTGTGTGTGTGTGTGTGTGTGTGTGTGTGTGTGTTTGGTTTTAGTTTTGTTTTGTTTTTTGTCTTTTTGAGACAGTGTCTCACTATGCAGTCCAGGCTGGCCTTGAGCTCACTTTGTAGCCCAGGCTGGCCTCAAACTTGCAACAAGCCTCCTCCTCCACCTCCAGAGTGCTGGGATTATAGACATGCACTACCATGCCTGGAAATAAATACTTCTTTAGAAAGGACATATAGCCTGTAATTCCAGCACTCAGGAGGCTGAGGTAAGAAGATCACCATGAATTGGAGGTCAACCTGGGCTACATGGAAAAAGAAAGCAAAAAGAAACAGAAAAGAAAGATATAAATGGCCAAAAGATACTATATATGAAAAAATGTTCAACCCAGTCATTAAGGAAATGCACATTAAAGCACAATGAGCTATCACCTCACTGCTGTCAGAATAGCTCTGATGAAAAGAGGAAAGATAACAAGCACTTACAAAGATATAGAGAGCATGGAGCCCCTGAACACCACAGGTAGGAGTGTAGATTAATATAGTTATTACAGAAAACTGAAAGGCAGTGCCTCAAAACACTAAAATAGAAGCTGGGCATACCTGTAACCCCAGCACTCCAGGTGGTTAGGGTAGAAAGATTGAAAGTTTGAGCCCAGCCTGGGCAATTTAGTGAGACCCTGCCTCAACATTTTAAAAAAATTATTTTTTTTTTTTAGAAAGGTCTCACTCTGGAGTCCCAGCTGGCCTCAGAGTTATGGCAATCCTCCTGCTTCATTCTGTTGAGTGCTAAGATTACAGGTCTATACCACTGTGCCCTGTGGATCAAAATTTTAAAATTTTATACAAGGCTAGGGATGTAGCTCAGTGTGGTTCATTCCCCATCACTGGAAAGAACAAAAAGGATTTCTTCATGCGTATTAATCCACTGATCAGGTTAAACTCCTGAAACCCAGGCCTCTCTGCCATGTTAGAGATTAAACCCTCAGTACATGTGCCTCTGGAAGACACTTCATATTTAAGCCAGAACATAGCCAAAGAATGTGAAGTAAGTATGCCATAGGCTAACTAACATAGCAGCAGTTTGCTCCTTTTTTTTTGTACCAGGACCATGTACTTGCCAGGCAGGTGCTCATGCTGCTGAGCTACATCCCTGGCCCAGTTCCCTGTTTGTTGCAGCATTATTTACAATAGCCAAATTATGGAATCAACAGTGTCCTTGGATGAATGAATGGATAAAGAAAATGTGGTTGGGCCAGGCATGGCACACCTGAATCCCAGGACTTGGGAGGCTCAGGCAGGGGTACCGGAGTGAGTTCAAGGCCAGTTTGGGTTCCATAGCAAGGCCTTGTCTCAAAAAATGAAAAATGAAAACATACGTGGGTGGGGGAGGGCGGGTAGCTCATGGTAGAGTGCTTGCTTGCCTGGCATGCACCGGGCTGAATTCAGTCCCCAGTTAACCACACACAGGACAGATTGAGGAAGGGAAGAAAAGGAAGACCTGCCTGAGGGCAGTCTAGAGACTTAGTGGTCCTATTTCCAAAGTAATACATTTAAAGGCCCTCAACTATAGCCCAGTGCACAGGTCCTCAGCTCAATCCCCAGTGTCACTCTCCCCCCGCCCAAAAAAAGGAAATGTTGTCATCTGCAGCAACATGAGAGACATTTGACCTAGAGAAGATCCATGATATCCTTTATATGGAAAACTAAAACAACAAAGCTCAGCAAAGCAGAGAGTAGAATGATGAGAGAGGGGAGTGGGGGGACAGTGGTTGAAGGTTACACAGCTCTGGTTAAGAGGAAGTGGTATTTGACCTGATGATTTGTTAATTTGCTTCATTTAACTGTTTCATGCTGTATTTATATAATGACATTTTGTACCCCATTAAAAAAAAATATATATATATATATAATTTGTCAATAAAGTCTTTTTTTTGTGTCAGGGATTGAACTCATGACAGCATACTTGCCAGGCAGGCGCTTATGTTACTGAGCTAAATCCCCAGCCCTAATAAAACCTACTTAAAGAATAAATTCTTTTGTAGAGAGCCAGGTATGGTGGCACACTCCTATAATCCCAGCACTTGGAGCCCCAGGCCAGCCTGAACTGCATAGTGAGACCCTGTCTCAAAAAGACAAAAAAAAAAAAAAAAAAAAAAAAAAAGAAAGAAAGAAAATAAAATAAAAGAAAAAAATATAGTGCTTGTTTTGTTTTTTGTCTTTTTGAGACAGTGTCTCGCTATGCAGTCCAGGCTGGCCTTGAGCTCACTTTGTAGCCCAGGCTGGCCTCAAACTTGCAACAAGCCTCCTCCTCCGTCTCCAGAGTGCTGGGATTATAGACATGCACTACCATGCCTGGAAATAAATACTTCTTTAGAAAGGACATATAGCCTGTAATTCCAGCACTCAGGAGGCTGAGGTAAGAAGATCACCATGAATTGGAGGTCAACCTGGGCTACATGGAAAAAGAAAGCAAAAAGAAACAGAAAAGAAAGATATAAATGGCCAAAAGATACTGTATATGAAAAAATGTTCAACCCAGTCATTAAGGAAATGCACATTAAAGCACAATGAGCTATCACCTCACTGCTGTCAGAATAGCTCTGATGAAAAGAGGAAAGATAACAAGAATTCTTTTGAATGTTAAATTAAAAAAAACAGTTAACATGGTATATCAAAATACGAATTTGTCTCTCATATGGACAAACTCTGGCCAAACATACAAATAAATGTACAAATATATACTATGTTAGTGTGATAAGATTATGGCTTTTGCAGTTTTTCCTTTTACCAATTTTTGTGTTCTAATTGACTATAATAAAAATGATAAAAGACAAAAGCAAAGCAAATGATAAAATACTTTGTGAAAACACACTTGAACATTTGAGCTGAATTCCCTCAGGAAACTGATAGCCAAAGAAAGGGATTAATGTAACTGATACTACACAGCCTATGGAATAACAAAGCCATGTGATACATGTGATACTGGGGAGTTGAAGCCAGGGCCTTTGCGCTGACCTACAACCCCAGTCTTTTTTTTTTTTCCTTTGAGACAAGATTTCACTAAATTATTAAATGAATTTGAAATTGAATTTGAATTTGCAATCCTCCTGCCTCAGCCTGCCAGAGTGCTGGGATGGCACATATGTGCTACCATGTCTGTCTTATTTTTGTTTTTTGATTTTTTTTTTTTTTTTGTCTTTTTCTTTTTTATCGGTACCAGGGATCAACCTCACGACCACCTGCTTGCAAAGCAGGTGCTTATGCTGCTGAGCTAAATCCCCAGCCCCTCTGTTTAGTTTTGATGACAGTCTTGCAATGTAGTTCAGGTTAGCCCTAAACTTGCAAATCCCCCTGGCTCAGCCTAAGTAACTGAGATTGTAGGCATGTACCTCTGTGCCTAGCTCCAGACTTTTGTTTTCTGTTTTTTTATTTCTAGTGGAGAATCAATCCTAGGCTCTTGGACCTCAGCATGTGCCCTACCACTAAACTATACCCCAACCCCAGATTTGAATTGTTTGGGTATTTTTTTTGAGACAGTCTTGATATGTAGACCAGGCTGGCCTAGAACTCACCGGGATCCTGCCACCCTGCCTAGAGGTTTCTTTTTTTTTTTTGTCTTTTTCCTTTTTATCGGTACCGGGAATCAAACCCACGACCGTCTGCTTGCAAGGCAGGTGCTTATGCCGCTGAGCTAAATCCCCGGCCCCGAGGATTCTTACCTAATGATTTTGCCCTGTGCTGTGGGCCAGTGTACTGGCTAATTCTGGGGGTAGGTCCGTCTCTTAAACACACAATCCCCACTTTGTTTGGCCACTATCTCTGGTTTTCTGAAGTGCTCAGGAGTCTTCTACAGTGTGCTATCCCTAAGGCTCTGCCTAGTCTCCTGCCCTTCCACCTCAGGAGACACTTGTTCGGCAGTTTTCCTCCATTCTGAATTCTTCTGAATTCTGTGGCTGCCCTTGCACAGATCTAAGAGCGACTTTTCTTTTGCTTCCATTAATATGTCTTGACTTGGAAGAGCCGAGAGGCTCACAAGGCACTTTCTAAAGCACCAAGCCAAGCACCTTTCACTCACATTCACAAATGATTTGGGAATCATTTGCTGCCTTGAATTATCTACACTTGATCTTAGCCAAAAGGCCAAGGAGTGGTGCCTTGAATTATCTAAACAATTGCTAAAGTAACTCATCACACAAGATGTGATGGCCTATGCTGTACTCCCAGCCCTTGGGAGGCTGAGGCAGGAGAATCATTGTGAGTATGTGAGAGTTTAAGGCCACCCTGGAATACATAGCAAGACCACGTTCCCCTCCCCCTCACCCCCAAAAATGATTCAACATGAACTCAGGGGAATTTAATTTATTTGAATAAACACAAGGCCAGACATGGTGGCTCATACCTGTAATCCCAGCACTCAGGAGGCTGAGGCAAGAGAATCACTGCAGTGTGGATAATTCAAGTGTAGATAATTCAAGTTCCAGATCAGCCTGGGATACAAAATGAGCTCAAGCAGCCTGAGCGGCATAGCAAGACCTTGTCTCAAAAAGACACATACACACACACAAACGTATTGAAATTAACATGAACACCTGCAGAACTGCTGCTGCCTGAGAGGGTGATGGGAGCAGTTTGTCCATCTCTGCTTTGGAGACAGCCATAGTTTCTCAGTTCTGATACTTCTAGTAAGGTAGAAGCCTTATCCGCAGCCACCTGTATTGTCAGTTCACCCTCCTCCCTACACACACTTCCCTCTTTCCCTCCCTGGCAAACAAGATGGCGAAAACACCAGGAGTCCAGACCCTCTGATACTGTCCCACTAGGGAGGAAACCAAAGTCATTCAGGATGCAGAAGGGCTTCCTTAATAATCCAAATACTTCTTAGGTTTCCAGAGAGTCCATAGAGTCCATAGCAGAGACTATTTCAACTCAAAGCACTTGAGGGTGGATGTTAGATTGATTCACTGCTCTTCAGAAGAAAGGTTCCAGCTGGGCCTACAATCTCAGAGTTCAGGCGGCTGAGCCAGGAGGATCACTTTTTTGAGAAAAACAAACAAAAAGATGAATGATTTCCAATCCTATGGCAACTCCCAGATGGCTCCAATCATCCTAAGGAGGGAGGATTAAAAGATTCTCAAAACTGAGTTTTTTGGAGACAGCACTTCAGGCTGGACTTGAACTTGCAGTACTTCTTGAGTGCTGGGATTATCAGTGTGCACTGCTATCCCTGCTGATTTTTTTTTTTCCTAGTGTGAGGCACTGACATCCCTAGTCCTGAAACTATTTTTTCAAAATTAAGAATCCCTGCTAGCTGGGCATAGTGGTACAAGTCTATAATCTCAGATGGTGGGAAGGATGAGGGAGCAGGATTGCAAATTCAAATCCTATCTGAGCAACGAAGCAACACTATGTCTCAAAATAAAAAAACAAAAGGGTTGAGGATGTAGCTCAGTACAAAGCTGTGCATTTAACCCCCAAAATCCTGGGGGAAAAAGAATCCCTGTTTTATTTATGCATTTAATATGGTACTGAGGGTTGAACTTGGGGCCTTCCCACTGTGCTACATTTCCAGCCATTTTGATTTTTATTTAATTAATTAATTAGAGACAGGGTCTTACTGTATAGTCCAGGTTTGCCTTGAACTCATTATGGAGCCTAAACTGGTATTGAACTGGTGGTAATCCTCCTGCCTCAGCCTCCCATGGGATTACAGCATACATTCCCAAATCTGTTTGTTTTGTTTTTGAGACAGGGTATGCAATTTAAGCTGGCCTTGAGCTCACTTTGTAGCCCAAGCTGGTCTGGAACTTTCAATGATCCTCCTGCCTCAGCCTCCCAAGTGCTGGGATTATAGATGTGCCATCACACCCAGGTTTTGTTTGTTTTGTTTTTTCTTAGACAGGGTCCACTAAATTGCCTAGTTGCTCACACTGAGCTGTAATTTATGATTTTCTGCCTCAGTCTCCCAGAAGGAGCTATTACAGGCATGTGTTCCTCTTCCTGGGAAGAATCCCTGGTTTACACACCCCTGCTGGATCAGTGGGCTGGGGATGAACACCTGCTCCAATTCCCTAGAGAAATGCAGCCATTGCCGGCTTCTTCACCTGTTCTAAATGGAGGAACACAGTCTTATACTTTTCTTTCCCTCTCAGCCCCTTCCACCACCTCCCTTACCAACATGAACGTAAAAACCAAGAAAAAAAAAGCAAACAGAACTGAAAGTACAACAAACAAAAGAACAAAGAGAGCAAGGTCAGAGAAAGCACAGCGGAAGGAAGAGGAAGCAGCAGGCTGGCTACGGGTGCACACAGAACAGCTGGAGTCCTGGTCCACTCTTCCCAGGGACTCCAACAAACTACCTTCTGCACCTCCCAGTCCCCCCGCAGACCTGAAGACAGGTAAGGCAGGGACTGCAGCAGAGGGGTGTGTGATGGGAGACGTAGAACAGTGATGTCTGGGCTCCCCTCCCTTCTGCCAGGAAGAGCTAGATGCATGGCAGCAAAGGAAGGTAGCATGTGCAAGGCCCTCCTGTTCCTGCACAGTTCATCCCCTCCCCTTGCTGAAAACCTCACCTGCTTTCTCCCCACTCTGCAGATGGAGAAGCACAATCTCATAAGCTGCAGCAGCTGTGGCCCATACCTCAGCAACCCGCCAGCTTCCTTCTCCAGAAGGCAGCAGCAGCAGGAAGGGGAAAAGAAAAGGAAAGGATACAATAATAACCCCAAACCTTTTCATCTCAGCTTAAATTTATCATTTGCTTCATTCTCAGCATCTCTTCCTCCCTCCCTGACTCATAAGCAAATGATCAAACAGGGCTTTGCCAAGAGGAAGCATGGAGCCACTGAGGCGGCATCTTCTCTCAGACTGAAAGGGGGCATCGAATTACACGCAGAAAGGATGCACCTGCTTCCAGAGGCAGCATGGGGGGAAAAGCGCTCATAAAGAGCCCCAGATTACTGCAAGCAAGATAATAATGTGATGGGGTTGAAATTAAATGCTAAATTAAGATTGCTTATGGAATTTAAAGGGGATGGGAAGAAATGGGGTGGAGAGACCAGAAATGGGAGTGGGGGTGGGGAGAAAAGAACAAGAAAAATAGACACAGTACAGTAGACAAAGGGGAAGATGCATTAAAAAAAAAATACAGCAGCACAAATAAAGACAGAAACAGAAAGGAGGAAGCCAGCACCTGGAAAGCAGTTACAGCTGCAGAGGGGGTGCAAAAAGGAGAGCACAGGGAGCGGGAGGAAGGTCAGGAGCCAGAGCAGAAAGCGCACTTCCTTCATCTATTTCAGTTTGCCCATGACTAGGTAAGGTTTGCTCATGCTCCACTGTCCACCCGCCCTCCAGCTCTGCCTGAAGAGCCCCAGGGTCTGTGTGGCACACCCCACACATCAGCTGACCCCCACATCCACCTGTCTCTCCCTCTCCAAAACAGACAGGAAGGCCATTCTCACGGTGTGGGTAACTCTGGGCATCCTTATGGGCTGTAGCACCCGTAATCATTTTGCAGCAGCCCAGAATAATGGGGCTCTTAGGCCCAGCTCACGCTTCCTTCCAAAGGGCAGAGGCTGCCTGGGGGCTGCTGACTCTTGATAGAGCGATTTAGAACTGTGTGCTCAGCAATTCAACAAAGCACAGACCCCCACACGGTGATTCTCCATTTTCCCCAGGCTGCCCGCACTGCATTGATTTCACTAGCTCTGCAGCCATTTAGTGAAGACAAAAAGAGGTAAAATTGCCAGGTTCTGGACTTCTCCAGCAGACTGAGAGGAAAGAATCCTGGAGGAAGAGTGACCATGAGCTCATTTGAATGAGTGATAGGCAGACATACTCCCTTGAGCGAGGGAGACCACACCAAGACACAATTGTTAGGGGTGGGAGTTCGGGTGTCAGAACCTCGAGCTGTGCTTTCCAATGGGCCTGAAGCCGAGACAAACTGGCACGACAGTGAAGGAAGTAGGAAGAGATGGAAAGGGAAGGGGCAAGCAGTCCCAGGCTGCAGAGGTAGGAAATAAATAATGTCCAGAAGAGTCTGGCTCTGAAGTAGACCAAATGGCTCTCCTGTCCCATGTTTATGGGGTCATGGGCCATTAAGCCAGCCAACCTACAGATGTCTTCATAAGACTTTACGAGATTAGACTAGGAAGACCCCATCACTCAGCAGCAAGAATAGAAAACAAGAGGGGAGAATTGCAGATAAGAGCTGGTACAAACAAGGACTCTGCTTTGACAGTCCCATTTCTGTGGGAAGATGTCCGGGTCCTGGCATTTCCCCCCTTTCTCACTTCTCACTCTTCTGGAGACTTTCTGCCAATCTCCACTAGCCTCGGGGCTGCATTAAATTTTGTGTTCTGGATTATTCTACCTTCCCCTCCTAATATGCCTTGCAGTTGGCTCTCACCACTTTTCCAGCCCCAGTATCCAGGCCTCAGAGTTTCTTCAGCCTTTGATAAACAAAGCAGAAAGATGAAAGATTTACATTTACAAATGCACATGACTCAGATTTTTAAATCTAAAGACTGCTTGATGTGGTTTCTTACATTCCAGTGACTTCGAGGTTTTTTCCCCCCCACAGCACTGGCAAATGAGCCCAAGGCTTTCACACTGAGCTGCATCACCACCCCTTTTAAATTTTCAGACAGGACATTGCCAAGTCACTAAATTGCCTGAGATGGGCTTGAACTTCTGATTCTCCGGTGCTGAATGGGACGCCACCTGTGTACTGATGTGCACTGTAAGCACATGAATTCCTGAAACCTCTCTCTTATTCTGTGAACTGTCCAGAGCAACAGCATGAGAATCAGGAAAGTACACAAACCCAGTTTAGGGAATAGGGCAGAAAAAAAGCCAAGTTCCCTTATGTACCCCTGGCTAGCACCACCCGGTGGCTATCTGAAAAATCTGAGACAGGGTGTCCAAAAAACAACATAACCTCTGAGGCCAATGACCTCCAGAAAAAGCTTCTGTTCTCCAAGTCTTGTGGCTCTTTCAGCAACAAGGACAAGGCATGACTAATGATAACAGTCTAGAACCCAAATTGAAAAGGAATGTTAAGACCCAGCTTTTCAAACCACCACTCAAGGTCCATATTTGAAAAGCAACCATTTATTAGAACCAATACAAGAGTATGAAAAGGGGGAAAAGAGAAGGGTGGAAGAGGGGGAGAGAATGAGGTCTGAATCAGATGTCAGTTATGGAAACACATAAATGCCTACTTTTAAACGTTTACAGTTAAAAGGTGAACATATATATAATCACTTATCCTTTAAAAAAATCAAAAGCAGACATGTTTGGCTGAAATAAAACCAAGAAAAGTAACTCCCCCACAAACCAGAAACTCCATAGAGAATTCAATGTCTCATTTCCATTCAGAAATCTGGCTATAAAGTGTGACTTGTTTTGCTTCTCAGGATGGTGCAGTGCTGGAAAAGCCCAGCCTCTTGAGTCTCTCAGATCCCATCCGGTGGGAAGTGGTGACGAGGCCAGCAGGCCACAGCGAGGCAACCCTGGCTACGTGGCAGGATGTGACTGTGCTCTCCATCCTCCAGGGCTCCACAGAACCATCCGGTGCCAAGTGAACAGTGGGAGCAGAGTCCACAAAACAGAACTGGAATGTGACCGCAAGGAGCCAGAACCTTGTGCTTTTTTATGGGTTACAAATCTAGTGCCAAGGAGGGGAAAGAAGAGCCCTATTGGGAAGAGGAGCTGACTGAGTCTCTAAGCTGAGATGGAAATAAGGCTTTGAGCCCACACTTGGGCAACAAAACGTGTTCAAAGTTTTCTCAAACCAGAGGGGAAAAAAGGGTCAAGGACAGGTCTACACTGTGGACACTGAGAAAAGAGATGCAGATACTAAATATAATGACTCTACTATAAAGCCATAAGGACCAATGCCTGATTCTGAGTGCTACAGTATTTTGAGGGGAAAAATTCTAATGCACCTCTTTTGGTTGGGAATAAAAAGGCGGTTACGTTTACTGAACCACCTAGTTTCTATGAGAGCTTAAAAGCATAAAGGGGCACAGTGACCCAGCTGCCCCGGGATCAGTTTGTGTAATGGAAAGCAACAACATAAATCTAAGCTAGAGGTTGCTTTGCTCCTGAGACAGTCCAAGTTGGCTCCAAATGCATGGGGAATGGGATCTTAGTTCCCAAACTGCAGAGGACAAGTGCTAGCATCCCTGCCTCAGGATTCCCTAGTCCAATGCTCTTGAGCTTGAAATAGCCTCTTGTGAATGTAAGACAGAAAGTACTAGTGCCTTCCCCCATGACATCCTAAGTTAAATCTGCACTCTTTTCTAAGATTCCAACATTCACAAAAACACTGTCATCTGAACTAGCAGCACTGATGAGGGGTGGGAGCAGAGAATTTGCTGAAGTCACTAAGCAGTTCCAAACCTGGTGACAACTCAGTGAGGATTAAAACCTCTGCCAGGCTTAAATTTTGGCTCAAGGCATCCTCCAGAGGACCCTAAAGTATTCTTCAACTTTGATTTACAATGCCTCACAACACCCCATGAGGTAGGTCATTATTATTACCCCCATTTAATAGATGGGAGAACTGAGGCATTGAATGACTTGCCCAAGGTCAGGCATTATGAATCAGTTGAGGTTGGCACACATAGTACACATTCACTCGATTCTTCTGCTGCTTCCTAGAGCATTTTTCTTTTCCGAGTATACTTCAGAGCAACAGAAGTGGGCAGGTACACTGTACTTCGCAAACCAGATGAACTCAATCAACCTGCACGGATTAACCTATCACTTATCTAGCCTAAGGTGAGGAACACAGGAGAAACCATCAGCTTTGAAAATCACAGTAGTGAATATTTTGAAAATAAAATTACAATTTATACACTAAACACATGGATTCTTTCAAAAAAAGTTTTTCACTTTAGAGATGAAGGATTAAGTCACACCGGTCTCTCAAAGTTTTGTACTAAGTAACCTAAATTCCTAAAATGAAGCAAGACCCTTCTTACACAGGAACAGTAAGAACTGCTGCCCAGTGGAGGGCCCGGCAGCGCTTTTATGGGCCTGCAAAGAGCAGAGTACACAGGGCAGGAAGCCAAGCACCCCACGAGCTCTCCTGCTGTGTGGCATTTCTCCTCATCATCTTGCTCAACCCCAAGACCTGTGACTTCTCCATAAACAGCACGCGATTAAGGACATAAATGGTGACCTCCATAACTAGTCATAGAAGCTCTTACAATACTCTTTTCTCCTGCCAGAGCATGGGGAACGAGATGACAAAACCACACCAAAACACCTCCACCCACTTGGGTTTGACTTTGGATTCTGGTAGAAATTATGTCCCTTATCCCAAAACTATGGAGACGAGGAGGGCTCCAAAGCCAAAGCTAGCCCTGGGTTAGAATGAAATTCTAAAGTTACTGGATCTGGAAAACACAGCTTTGAGCCTCAAGAACACTGAGACACAAGCACTCTGTTTCTTCAGCTGTGCACAAAGAATTTCCAGGTAAAACATCCCTCCCTCCTTCTAGGCCCCTCACAGCAGCCAGGTATCAAGACTCTATGAGCAACAGAAACTCAAAGAACTAACTTTTCAACACACAGCACAGGCTCACAAAGAGTATCTTATTCCAGAACTCACTCCACAATCTAAAAGCTTTTTCTTTTTCACTGATGGGGGGTCACACTGTACAGAATCCAGGTTCAAGAAAGTTCAAGATTGATTTTTTTGGCAATGACATTTCAGGTTCTGCCTGTATTTGGACTTCCGCCCCTCCAAAATAAAAGCTCCTTAAAAATGGCCACTTCAGCTTGGATCAATTGTTTAGGGTTACAACCTGTCAATGCTAGGGGACATCACCAAAAAAAAAAAAAAAAAAAAAAAAAAGACAAGATATAAAGTTCATTGCCTTCAATTTGGCCTAATTTCTTGATAATAGTTTCCTATTAGATTTTTCGATTAATACTGATGGCTCTTACCTAGGCTGCGATAATTAGGTTTTGATCTATTGTGACATTAATGATCACAATCAGTTGGCTTTGAAATTGTCTTAATTAATGACTCTTTCCTTGTCAGCTTTTGCCTCCAGTGCAGGAGTCCATTCCCTCCCCCACCACCTTGGTTTAACTCCTTCTCTTACTAACCTGAAGAAGACAAATAGTAATAAAGGATCATTTCTTCCCCAAAAAGACTAGATTTTAAACGATTTTAAAACATTTCTTTCACAAAGGAGCAATGTGAGATGATGTTAGGTGAAATGAGGACCAAGACGAAAGGCAAGAGAATGAACTATCAATGAGCAGAAAAAATTCCATCAAGAAAATAACCAGAGTTGAGCACAATGTTCAAGTGGCAATGACAAGCAGAAGTAACTCGAGAAAGACAGAAAGACAAGATGAGGTAGATTAAAATCCAAGAAATTCAGCACAAGCAAAAAGAAACTACAACTGTTTTTATGAAGCTACCTAAGGAACTTCATACTTTAACTTTCATAACAGTAGGCTGAATTCTTGGGAATTTTGATTCCAAAGCTAGCCAACTCTCCATTATCCGGGCAGAACTAAGTTCTTTTTCTTGCAATCACATGTCACAAGAACACTGTTGAGATCAGATTGCTTTGTTTCTGTGGTACTGAGGAGTAAACGCAGGCAGTGCTGAGCTACATCCCCAGCTTTTTTTTTTTTAAGTTTTGATATAGGTCTTAATGTTATCCAGGCTGGACACAAACTTGCAGTCCTGCTGTAGGTATGTGCTATCATGTAGATCAGACTATTTTCTTATCTGGAATAGGTTTCACCCTACATCCACTTGGACTCATTCAGTCTGAGATTCCAGGGTAGGTATATTTCTGGGAAAGGTTTCCATATCACTGACACAATTCCCTGCTAAGAAATTACTCTCTCTGATTTATGGTTCTGAGCACTGAACCCAGGGTCTTCACACTGGACTGTATCCTCACTACTTTTTTTTTTTTTTTTAATTTTGAGACAGAGTTTTCTAAGTTGCCCACACTGGGCTCAAATTTGTAATTCTTCTCCCTCAGCCTCCCAGAATGCTAGGATTACAGGAATGGGGCACTGTGCCCAGTAAGAAATTATCCTTTTGGAGTGCCTGAGTAAAACTATATTAACTCAGAGATAGATGCTCAGATATTAACAGATGTATCTCAAGCTTTCTTTGTAACAAAGTGTTTGTTATTAGATGGTAATGATGGGAGAAAAAAACAATATGCCTCTCCTCAGGTGTAAAATGGGTACCTCCAACCAGGCTGACCTTCCCAGTAGTTGATCTTTTAACACATCTGCTTAGGATTGAAAGACTGACTAAATGGAGAAAGCACTGATAACTCTGTAGAAACAGTTAATCATTTACTGTTGATTACTAGAAGAAATTCTGCATGAGAAATGTCTTAAAAGAGAACTAAGCAAGAAAAATATACAATGTGACCAACTGAGACCTAGGTGATTAAAAGTACTTTGCCCATGGTTCTCTCTCTTCAGAGGGATAAATCTGAATGAAAGTTTTTTGTATGAAGCTACAAATGTCTAAGGGAAAGGACAGCTACTCAGCACTAACAAATGCTAGAGGCACAGGCATGCATCTGGTTTCCTTTGTGCTAAGGGCCATTAGCAAGGAGAGAACAAAGGTTGTTTTGGTGACACTAAGTTAAAAACAAAACAGGATTCTATAAACTGAGGACACAAAGATGAAGTGAAGAGTATTAAAGGGACAGTAAGTAATAGATGATACTAGGGTTGTTTCGGTAAAAGAAAACCAGATTTTAATCACTGTCTTGAACATTACCTATAACCATGGTAACCATTCGTTCCTAATTTCTCAGGACCAATCTTAGCACCAAATGCTGTGTGTTCTTTGTCCACAGGCTAGGTTGCTTGGTTTTAGACATGGTCCCTGCAGTTTACATGGCCAGTACTACTGGGATACATGGCCTACAGAGATTGATGGTCATTTTCTCCAGTTGCAAATCACGAGGCTCAGATCACCTCCCCAGGAGCCCTGGCTTACTTTCTTCCTATTCTGGTCTGCCCTCACTGATATCCTGGGTTACCTGTATGACAAATCTATTTTCTGACCATCCTTCTTTGTAGTGCCCACCAGAGTAAGTTTAAACAACTGTCAATTATCCAGCACTTGACCTAGTCTTAATTCCTTCAGAGAGTAAAGGAGTGTGGAGATAAAACTCCCACCCACACGAGGTATGGGTTATAAGCTCTCACCCAATCACATTACTATTCAGAAGGATTTTCTCTGGGCTAACTTAAACCAAAAGCTTCATTGTTCCAGTCTGTCATGTCACTGCAGCAACAGCTGTCTCTTTAACTGTGCTGTATAATTTTTAACATAATTTATACAAGCTCACAGAATTTAATCAGCAGCAGAGCAGGGAAGTGATTTTAACAAATGCTACAAATTGGCATATGATTTGCGTCTTATTTGGCTCATCTGTGGACTAGATCATTCTATCCATGCCCCTCATTACTATGAATAACCCAGAAATGGTTGAATGCTTCTGGCCAGACAGCTGTGTTTTAAAACTTAAAAGCAACAACAAAAACCACCTCAGTGGCTGATGAACTCCAGAATTAAGGCTGCTTCAAGCATTTATTCTCATTTCCTCAGTTTTGGAAAAAAGAAAGATGCCCAAAACCCTGCCATTTCCTTCCTATCAGTCCGGATTCAGTAGACCCCTCCCCACAACTACAAGAAAAGATGCAGCAGAGAATTTCTCAGGAGACAAAGGCAGAGAAGGATATGATTGGGGCGTGGGGAGGACGACTCTCAATACAATAGCAAAGCAGAGGAAATTAAAAGGGAAGTATTTTGCTGAGTAGCAAGAAGTTGTGTCAATATGCTAATACCAGGATTTGTCACATTCTCAGGTGATAATCTTCCCTGGAAATTTGTTTTTCAAATATATAAGATACAACCAAAATTTCAAGAGTGGAAAAAGGGAAAAGGACTCCTAGTGGCAAATCCAGGACTGAAGCAAGGAGAAAACTTGTAACTGCTATGAGTATTTAAAAGTGACACTGTGTCCAACGGCTCCCCTCCAATAATTCACCAATGAAAAAAATGATGTGGAAGGGAAGCTTGGATCCACTGAGAAGTGAGATCAGGTTTGAAGCCTCTTTGGTAACAAGAATGCTTTGGGAGGCCACAAAAGTTGGCAGGGTTGGAGGGTGCCTAGCACCTTGGCACAAGCAAGCACCAGGCAATCACTCACATTTACATAAATACACAGTCTAAATATGAGGGCTGGAAGGAAAGAATACATAAATTCTATATGTGTGACAAAGAAAGACAACTGTATTTGTCCCTACCCCATCATCCTCCTATACTACAGCTCAGGCTCTCCGGAGTGGATAATTTTGTCATTTTATGACAAATTGATGCCACCTTACAGATGCAGAATCAGTGATTAGTAAAAACAAGGCCAACAGTCCTGGGCTAAAAGAAGTGACCTGACAAATTTCAATGTAAAATTTCAAGTCCTCAAAAGGACGGAGCTACTCTGAGACGATAGGTGAGAAAGAACTACAGAAGGTGGCCCAGAAGACCACACCAGGGACCCTGTATGCTCCTGGTAGAGCCGAACAAGGTTGGGAAAGTCCCAACAGGTAGGCAGTTGCTACTGGCTTTTTAAAAGATGAGCAACGTCCTTTCCAATCCAACATATTAAAACAAAGGCCAGCTGGTCATCAACATGTTCTAAGAAACAGAGCAAGAAACTAAAATTCACCATCTTTGCTATAACATCCCCCAATCTAAAAGCAACCAACCCTGAAAAGATCAAGACTCTAAGGTGATTAAAAAGTTAAAACTTATTTTTAGGTCACAAGGGTGCAGGAGGAAGAGATCAGGGCAAAGGAAAACTTTGTGGGAATTACACACAGTATGTAAATGCCTGGTCTTCACAGAGAGACACTTATCATGAATCAGACCATCAGTTATGTTACAAGAGAACCAATACCAACATTTCTCCTGTGGAGCACAGTGATAAGCACATTTTTTATGGATGTGTTTAGGGTAGAAGGGGTTGGGTAAAAGGGAGAGGAGGCAGGGAGGTGAATGTATTATGTACAAAGAGAAATGACAGAGACCACCCCCTCCTTTAGCTCTTCGTGGTTTCTTTCTCTTTGTTTTCTGCATCCTCAGGATACGCATGCCACGTCAGTCTCTCTTCATAAAATGCTATCACAATTTGTGGACATTTCACATTAGCTTCTTTTGCAAGAACCAGGTCAGCCTCATCTGTGTCTTTCCTAAAGAGAAAGAAGATGACACTTAGAAGGAGAGGGAATAAGAATGAAAAAAAAAACCGGTTTAATACAGGTTTGTATCATTATGTGCACTTCATTCATCTGGATGTGGTGGCATATTCTTATAATCCCAGCACTCTAGAATTAGCTGACTTGATTTTCTCACCTTGATTTCAAAGTGAAAAGAACTCTAATGGGGGGCCAGGCATGGTGGCACACACCTGTAATCCCAGCACTTGGGAAGATCCCCGTGAGTTCCAAGCCAGTCGGGACTGCACAGTGAGACCCTGTCTTTAAAAACAAACAAAACAAAACAAAACTCAGCCTGAGGATATGGCTCAGTGACACAGTGCCTTCCTGGCAAGTGTGAGGTCATGAGTTTGATTCCCAGTACAAAAACAACAACAAAAACCCGACCTCAAGATCCTGAGTTCGATTCCCGGTTCAAAAAACAAAAAAACTAATAGGGCTGGGTGGGTAGCTAAGTGGCAGAACACATGCTTACAATGTATGAGGGCCCTAGATTAGATTTTCCTCCTCATTCTCCTAAACAAAGAGAAAAGAATAGCCAGAAAGGTGGCCTATGTACATAATGCTAGCGCTCTGGGAGGCTAAGGCAGGACGATTCCAAGATCACTCTTAACCTGGGCAATTTATTGAGACTGGGCCTCAAATTTCAAAGAGAGGGAGAGAGGGGGAGAAAGAGAGAGAGAGAACAGGCTAGAGCTCAGCATGAAGGCCCTGAATTCAAACTCCATTTTAAAAGGGAAGGGTATGCCTAATAGTCTAGTACTTGCAAGGAGGTATTTAAATAAATGAATTAAAATTTGAGTGAAGATCATTTATCAGACAAAAATACCTACAGTTGGAATTTAGACGTAAAACATAATAGAAAAAAGTTTAAAAAGGTAAATGATTATAAATATTCTCAATTATAAATAATTTCAAATTTTTATGTAAGTGAACACAAACCTACCCGAGCTCTACTGGCTATGTATAAATCAATCTATTTAGTTTCTGTATAATCTAAATGAGCTACACTCTCACTCTTTTTAACAGTATTAAATTTTGAGACAGGTTCTTGTTAAGTCACCCAAATTGCCCAAATTGATCTCAAACTCCTCATCCTCCTGCCTCAATCTCCCAGAGCGCTGGGATTACAGTCATGCACCACTATGCTTGGCTTCTTATGGTATTTAAATACTCATTGCCCCTTTGGTCACAACTGAATTAAAATGGTAAGAAAACAAATTTAAACCAGGAGTGGTGGTACATACCTGCACTCTCAGAGACTGAGGTAAAAGGGCCACAGATTCAAGCTCAGCCTGGGCAAATTAGTGAGATTCTTAAAATAAAAAGCATTGAGAATTTACCTCAATGCAGGCAGGCAGACACACACACACACACACACACACACACACACACACACACACACACACACAATATGGCTGGGATGTGGCGAAGCACTCCTGTAATCCCAGAATACTGGGAGACACACAGGATGATTGCTCCAAGTTTGAGAACTGGTTAAGAATCTCTGATGTTCAAAATTCTTTGTTTGGGAATTGTCAGTTTTGCCAACTATAATCCACATAAATTCAAGTCACTGGAAAAGAAACACAAGTATAAAGTAAGGATAAATCTCTCACCATTTCATCAGGAACATTAAATCACCACAGGAATCTGTTGCTCCAATAATCTTTTCTGGTTCCAGACCTCTTTCAAAGCCCCGAGCAATATCATTGCTTTGCTATAAATAAAAGACAAAAAACGGTTACAGTTTGGAGAAAATAGTCTGTTTCCTAGTTCAACAAAGCACCACCTGCATTAATATCACCTAAGAGGTGTTATGGTACTAGTGAGAGCATGCTTATGATCCCAGCACTCTGGAAGGCTGAAGCAGGAGGACTGCAAGTTTGAACTCAGTCTGGATACCTAATAAGAGCCTGTCTCAAAATAAAAGGTGAAGGCCAAGAATGTAGCTCAGTGGCACAATGCTTGCCTGGCAAGCACAAGCCAGGCAAGCATTGCCTCCAATACCCCACACTGCAAAAAGGACTGGGGATGTAGCCAGTAGAAGAAAGGAAAAAAAAAGAAAGGAAAAGGAAAAGAAAGGTCAGACAGATTATACTATGTTAGCCAGCAACAATGATGCCAAGAGATTTTTTGCTATTGTTGTTTTTAGAAACAGAATCTCACTATCCAGTTCAGGCTGACCTTGAATTCACTATATAGCCCAGGCTGGCCTTGTACTTGGAGTAATTCTCCTGCCTCAGCCTCCTGAGTGCTGGGATGACACATGTGCATCACCATGCCCAGCCCCAAGAGGTGTTTTTGCAAGAAGATCCAGTTGTCACTCCTAGTATTCCCTTCAAAAGATTAACAATGATCCCTAAAAGTCTTTAATATCCCAAGAGATATTCTGGAATTATGTTAGAATTCCTCTAATCTACTCACTTTCAATCTGCTTAATAATGTAAGTGGTCTACCCCTACACTGTCACTTCTAGAGCACTAGCATTACTCATTTAAATGCACTAGCTCTCAAGGTTGTTTTTTTTTCTCAAGGTTTTTTTTTTTTTTAAGACTTTCAATTTACCTAAACACTGATCACTAATTTAAATTTTTTTCACAGTCATTTATATTACAAAAAAAAAGGTAAGACTACAAATTACACACTAAAAGGTAAGAATGCAAATTTCAAAAATCAAAAGTACCAATACCCATATATATGCTTGGCTGGTCTGCCTATCCCTTCTCAATGTGGATGAGTTATTAACATCAGAAGGTAGAGCTGAACTGTGATTACAAACTAGCTAGCAGGAAAGGAGTGGTGGAACTTGCTCTGAATGCAATCAAGATGAGGAACACAAGGTCTGATCCAGGTGCAGTGACACTGACAAGAGCAAAAAAGTAACATGTTATGCAAACCAGATAATTTAAAAAAAAAAAAAAAAACTATTTTGGAGAATAATACTAGTTTACCTAGTAGGAGTACAAAAAAAATTAGGAAAATTGCTCAAATGAACAAACTCTCTGGTGTCTGATTTTTATAAGATCTCTTTGATCTGATATTTACCTTACTTTCCTCTGAGAGATACAAAAGCATGGAGGGCCCAGGTTGCCCACAAATATACCAGAACCCACAATAGGGAGGAAATTCCATGCATGGATCAAGAGGAAATACTGACTTTTAAAAACAGCCTCTTTTGGGGACCCTTAAGAGAAAGAGGTTCCCAGATGTGCACACAGCTGCTCACAGCTGGAATGCTGGCGCACAGACCAAGTAGTAAATCATAGCTGGCAGCTGAAAAGAGTTTGCCACATAGGGAGGGAAGGAGGGGGAAATGGAAGAAAAATGTCAAGCTGTTGAAAAGGAGCCCAGGCGAAGAAAATGCTAAAATCATCACACAGGCAGTAATCTTAAATCAGGTATAATGCCGACTAACAAATTTCTTCTGCAGTGGTCTAAAGAAGGAAACACAATCCCCTCCTGTACCTTTAAAACATACAGCTACCTATCTTCCCAGTTGCCTGACAGCTACCAGTACTGCTGAGATTCCTAACGGGGACCCCAGATGAACATTATGATGTAAAGGACACACATAGGGCTGTTTCCAAGGTTGGTAGCTTCAGAACCTGGCCCAGGAATGAAACTGCACTGACCAGTAGCACTGGGCCAGGTAACTCAGAATGCCCCTTTTCGAAGGATAAAAATTCTAAGATGCACACATACATACTATCTGTCACAAATGCCTAGTTAGAAGTCTTATGCTCTGCTGGTTGTGCTTTTCACTACAAAATGAATCAAATGACAAAAGCCCGAATACAAAAGACTAATAGAAAAGACAAGGGAGGTGGGGAATTATGTCTGAGCTCCTTACAAAGCTTTTTGAAATCCTTTATCAATACAATATATCACAGTAATACAAACTTCACCAGAATAGGACAGTTTTTAAGTAAGGCTGTAAAAAAATAGAATTAAAAATGGGAAGAAGCAATGGCATAAGTGCCTGCCTGGCAAGCGTGAGGTTGTGAGTTCAATCCCTGGTACCAAAATAAAAAAATTTTTTAAATTTAAAAAAGGAAAGAAGGACACAGACACAAAGTGAGAATTCACTTTCTCTTCTAGCCTTCACAGTCATTTCAGTTCATTTTGTTAACCTGGTTTTTCATTTCTTCCTCTATAGAAACCAGGAATCACCTGTGTAAACCTTTATAAAATCTTTACACTAGGTCAACTCCACAAAAATTCTTATTTAACTGGTCTGGGGCCCATCTTGGGCACTAGAGATTGTTTAAGGAACCTTCCACCCCCACCCCACCCCTGCAATGATTCTAATGTGCAGGTAGGGAGAGAATCAATGCTAGAGAAAGATGGGTATCCAAGCAGTATGAAAATAAGTAGGGCTTCTTGTGGCAGTGATGCTAGAAAATTCCAGAAGTAGACTTATGCTTTCATTTTATTAAACTTTGAAGTGTTTCATATATCCTTCACCTCAAAAGGCTTCATAACATTTAAATAAATGAAGTGAAAGCTAGGGAACAGAGTGCGTATGTACACACAGATGTAAAACAGATGAGAAAGAGGCAATAATACTGCTCATTCAAGTTACTTCAGAGCCAAAGATGAGAAGGATTAAAGCTATTGAATCAGCCAAAATTTCACAAATACACTTTCTACACTATCCAATACACTCACAAGGAAGATAAAAAATTTGTTATTTGGAGTAGTGAATATAAACATTACTGAAATGTCTACTTTAAAATGGTTGATTTTAGTCAGGTAAGGTAGGCAGAAGTAGAAGGATCTCTGAGTTCAAGACCAGCCTTAAAGTACATGGCAAAACCTTATCTCAAAAATACATCAATACATAAGGTACTAAAATATAATGGCTAATTTTAGCCAGGAATATTAGGACATGTCTGTAATCTTAGCATTCTAAGTAGTTGAAGCAGGCAGATCAAAAATTCAAGTCTTAATAAGAGCAGATTTCATAAAAAATAAGTAAATATTAAAAGTTAAAAACAATAAAAAAATAAAAGATTGGCTAGGTATGGTGATATGTACCTATAATTCTAGCACTCAGGAAGCTAAGGCAAGAGGACCACTACAAGTGGCCAATCTGGGCTACGCTGTGAATAAGGCCAGCCTGAGCTGCACAGTGAGACCCTATCTCAAAACAAAACAAAAACAAAATCAGTATGAAGGCCCTGGTTGGATTTAATTCCCAGTACCTCTAAATAAATAAATAAATAAATGGCTCATTATAAATTATGTGAATTTCACTACAATTAAAAATACATACATATCGGGGCTGGGGATTTAGCTCAGTGGCATAAGTGCCTGCCTGGCAAGCACGAGGTCATGAGTCGATCCCCAGTACTGCAAAACAAAACATACATACACACATGAGCCAAATTAACTCTCTCCTCCTTTAAAAAATATTTACATAAAGTAGGGAAAATAAGGGTTATCACTAAAACAATTGAAAAAAAAAATAAAAGAAGTGGGTAAACATTTCAGAACTTGTTTCCTGCTGGGTACGGTGGCACACACCTGTAATCCCAGCACTCAGGAGACTTCAGCAGGAGGATCACTGTGGGTTCAAGGCCAGTTTGGGCTACACAGTTCACAGTTAGCCTGAACAACACAGTGAGCTCTGTCTCAAAAAACCAAACCAAACAAGCAAAAACCAAAAGTCATTTCCATCCTTCAAAACAATTCAAGAAAGATAATTCCTCGGTAAAACAAGTATTTACATTATTTATTGAGAAGGTAGAGTGTTTTATTAATGTTTTACGGACTTAATTTTGCCACCTTAGTAGCCGGGCGTGATGGCACACTCCTGTAATCCCAACATTCGGGAGGCTGAGGCAAGCGGATTGTGGCAAATTTGAGACCAGTTTGAGCTACAAAGTGAGCCTAAGGCCAGCCTGAACTGCACAGTGAGACAGTCTCAAAAAGACAAAAATAAAATAAAATAAAACCCTAAAATTAATTTCGTCACTTTAATACAACGACCACAATGTACACTTCTCACTCAACCAGTAGGGGGCGCGTACACACCCTCCTCAGCGCTCCTTTGTCCTGTAACTTACCTACCTCACAAAAGAAGTCACTAACTGCGGCTGTGAGTTGGAAACAGAGCAGTTTATAGGAAAAAGAGAAGGAAGCTTACCTCTCTTTTTTTCTTGGACTTGATATCATCAGCACTGTTTGAGAAATTGGATTTCCTCTTGTTACTTTCTGACTTCTCCCTCGGTTTATTATTTTCACCCTCCTTCATCTTCTTATATTTTTTCATAAACTCAGAAATTAGTTCAGGGCAATCCAAGTTTTTCTCTGGTTCCCAGGTATTATGCTCCCTGAGCAAGAACGGAAAGAAAAAGGTAAACAATGAGACGGGCAAAAAAATCCAATGTCTTATCTTAAATAGCACATGTAGGGAAAAAGGACATAAACCCTACATTTAAAGCACATGGGCTGGGTGCAGTAGTACATGCCTACAAACCTAGCACTGGGGAGGCTAAATGAGGAGGACTGCTGTGAGTTCAAGGCCAGCCTGGGCTACACAGTAAGACACTGCCTCAAAAAAACAAAAAAGAAGACACTGAGAGTGTGACAGAGCACTTGCCCGGCTTGTGTGAGGCCTTGGATTTGATCTCCAGCAGAGCAATCAAAACAATCAATAAATTAATGCTGTAACAAATTTAATCCTACAGTTCTACTCAAGAGAAATGAAAAAATATGTCTACATAAAGACTTGTACACAGTAATTTCCAGGAATACTTTTTTTTGGGGGGGGGGGGTATGGGGATCGAACTCACAACTGCGCACTTCCAAGGCAGGCACTTATGCTGCTGAGCTAAATTCCCAGCCCCAGGAACATTTTAATAGGCAAACCAGAAAACAAATTCAAATACAACCACATCAGTATATGAATGAAAAAATAAAGTACATCCACACAATGGAATACTATCTAGCAACAATACACAGTACAACTTTAAAGAACCTTGGAAACTTTATACTAAGTGAAAGAAAGCAGAAGAGACTACATGCTTTCTGATTCCATTTATATAAAATACTTAGGGCAAGATAAATTTTAGACAGAAAGCAGATCAGTGGTTTCCTGAAGCAGGAGACCAAATATGACAGTGACACAGTTGACAAACCACAAACAGCCTCAGTGGAATGGGTATGTGTGTAAACGTTTTGAAACTGAAGTATGGTAATCAATGAAATAAGAGAATTTCAGTGGGTGAACTTTATAGTGTATACCTGAATAAGGCTATTTTAACAAGCACCTTTGACTGTTGTGGTGGTGCACACCTGTAATCCCAGTATTCGGGATGCTGAGGCAGGAGAAGCGCTAGCTAGCCTGGGCTACATAGTGAGTTCAAAGAGAGGGAGGAAGGGTGGGAGGAGATAAAGGGAGGAAGAAAGAGGAGGGAGGGGAAGAGAAGAAAAGAAAGGACAGGAAAGAAGAGAAAAGAAAAGGGAAAGGGAAAGGAGAAGAAAAGAAAAAGAAAACCAGCCAGGCGTGGTGGCTCTTCATGTATGTAGTCCTAGTACTTGGGGAGGCTGAGGTGAGATCACTGAGTTCAAGACCAGCCTGGATTACAATGTGAGCTCAAGGCCAGCCTGAACTGTGTATTAAGACCCTGTCTTAAAAACACCAAAAAAAAAAAAAAAAAAAAGAAGAAGAAGAAAAGGAGAAGAGAGAAAGGCAGGCTGGCTTTTCCTTTCCTTTATATCTCTTATTTCTTTTTTTTTTTTCTTTTTGAGACAAGGTCTCTCTATGCAGTTTAGGCTGGCCTTGGGCTCACTTTGTAGCCCAGGCTGGTCTCGAACTCTCAAAAGATCCTGTGCCTCAGCCTCCTGAGTGCTGAGATTACAGGCATGTGCCACCATGCCCGGCTTTATATCTCTTATTTCAAGGAAAAAAATTATCCACTAACTTTCCCTCAAGGCCATAGATGCCAGGATATTAAGGCAACAAAATCAAGAGGACGTATCATGGTTGTGTATGCTTGTAATTCAAGAACTCATGAAGCTGACACTTGAGGATTTAGAGTTTGAAGCTAGCCTGAAATATAAAGTGAGACTGTGTCAAACAAAACAAAACAACCAAGAAGAGGGTGGCCATTAACACAAGTAGACCAGAGGGTGGGGTGTAGTCTTGCTAGTAATAGGAAAGCCAGTCTTGCGATGAAATTAATCTGTTTTCCTATCATTTTGGTACTGCTATTTCAACTTTAACCAATTTTCAGTAGTTAGCATAATATAATTGTAAAAGAGCCCCGGGTTTTGGAGATCAAAGAAATCTGATATTGTATCCTGTTTTACAACCTGTAAAAGTTACGCAATCTTTAGGAAACAGCTTCACTAATTTCCTCATCTAGAAACTGAAAATACTTCTAAAGGTTTTATGAGGATTAAGGAGAACACTAGTGGTAAAATATGATCACTGCCTAGCACATACAGCACCTCTCTTATCTATGGTTTCACACTTCATGATTAATTGCAGTCCAGCACTAATAACTGGAAAGCTCCAGAAATAAACAATACATTTTAAATAGCAGCCTGTTCTGAGTAACGTGATGAAATCTTACACTTACTCTGGTCTGTCTAGAACATGAATCACCTCTTTGTCCAGAATATCCATATACTACAAACCATTTAGTCACTTAGTAGTTATCTGTTAATTTATCAACAAAGGTATATAAACATGGGTCTGTCAGACCAACCTTTATTCTTCAGAATATTTTTATTGATGAATTATTAATTTTATGAGTTTTATTATATAAATGAGTACGTAACAGAGGGAAAAATCACAAAAATAAAGTATTGAATTTTTAATATTTATTATTTATAAAAAAGCATCAAATTTTCAACATCAACTGGTTTCTGGTGTACAAAGTCAGATCATTGCAAGTTCGAGACCAGCCTGGACTACAAAGTGAGCTTAAGCCCAGCCTGAACTGCATTGTGAAACTTTTCCTCAAAAGGACGAAAAAGAAATCCTACATGAACTTCAATGAAACTACCAATAGCACTCTATAAAAAAATCATTACTTCAGCTATCATACCTAAGGCAGTCTTGCACACGACCACCATAATCCACACACGCATCACTCACACTAACAGCACATATTCTTTGCTTTCCTAACTTTTTGAAGAACATACTTGTCATCTCAGTGGTCTTGCTGTTTTGTTACAAAGTTCTTATGATATCATACATTGTGTAGTTCATAGAAACATAAAATATCAATAAAATACATTATGAAATTCTTAATATTATTGCACTGTTAAAAAGACATCAACATTTTCACATTAGCTATGTACTTGCCTACAAAATCTAAAAGATAACATCAGAAAAAAGCTCCATATGAACTACAATGAAAATACCAATAAAAATCCACCAAAATAATAAGCTTTGCTTTAATTGTCATACCCAAGGTAGTCATCACACATGACAAATGCATGTTTCATGCATGTGTCTCACACTGCCAGCAAATGTGCTTAGCTATCCTTTCCTATGTGGCGGTCTTGTCACCTCGCTTCATGTTTTGTCAGGAGCTTTCCACTATACTGCACAACATGCACTTAGCAGGAAAATAAGATTAAAATATCAAATATGTAATGGGCACTTATAATAGACATCAACATTTTCACATCAGCTGTTTACCTCCTTACAAAACCTAAAAGATAACATCAGAAATAAAAACCTATGTGAACTACAATGTAAACACCAACAAGTCTACCACAGAAAAATGTTTGCATCAACTGTCACACACAAAGCAGTCTTCACAAATGACACTGCATGTTCCATACACAAGTATCACTAACACTGATAGCACATATGTTTTGGTTTCCGGTCCTTTCGTGAAGGACACAGTTAACATCTCTTTTGTTTTCCTGTTGTCATTGTATGTCTTTGTGATGCTATGCCTGCCTATTCACCTGTCAGCTCACCAGTGTGCTCCACAATTTCTTTGTATAGTCCCCTGGGCTGAAACATTTTGTTTTTCCTGTTATAATAAATGATCTCTCATAAACTCTGGTCTCAATCCTCTAAGAAAATTTCTCCGTGATATTTTGCACTTGCTATTTTCTTTGTAAACTATCAAACTACTTATGCCACACATTTAGGATCAAGTAAAACACAACCCTGACCCATGTTTTGTACTTCAAATGGCATCATACTTGCTGCATAACTCATCAACAGTACCTAGTCCACCTTTGGTTTTGTTGTTGAAAGTTTCCATCTCAGGCTTCCATTTTGTCAAGTTTGTTTTTCTTCTTCTTTTTTTTTTTTTTTTTTTTTCTTTTGTCTTTTTGAGACAGGGTCTCACTATGCAGTTCAGGCTGGCCTTGAGCTCACTTTGTAGCCCCGGCTGGGTCTCGAACTTGCAATGATCCTCCTGCCTTAGCCTCCCGAGTGCTGGGATTACAGGCGTGAGCCACCATGCCTGGCTCAAGTTTGTTTTTCTTTGTCATATACAAGGTCAATGTTGTATCTTTCTGAAATCCAAAGATTATACTATACAATTCTGTTTTGAATTTGCGATATTTCCCTCGGAATTTCTGCTTTGTTCCTGTGTACAGTTGCTGTGTTGGTCAACTTGTGCTCCGTTAGCAAGTGTGACATCAACTGGAAACCAGTAAACCAAATGTCAAATGTCATATTCCAACTAGTTTGGGAGACGGGCAACAAATTCACTTACAACATCATTCAGTTTATTTCTACATGAGTAAGGACCTACATGAGTAGGATAAATATGTAAATTGAAACTATAGTAAGTCTTCGTATGTACAATGGCATGAATTTTTTTTTTTTTTTGAACCAAGAATTGAACTCAGGACCTTGTGCTTGCCAGGCAAGCACTGTGCCACTGAGCTATATTCCCGGCCCCGACAAGGGCATTAATTTTTAGGCCATATTTTGACCCATCATTTTTCTGTAATTCTTGCAATCACCATGAGAAATCCTTGCTAAGTACAGCAAACCTATGAATGTTTTCAGTTCAGCTAGTGAAGTGATACAATATATTTTTTGAATATGGTTACTGGTGCATACAGAATGTTTTCCTTGCATTTCAGCTTCTGTATATTTCACGGCATCTTGTAGCATTTTATCTATTACAATTTCCAATAGTGATTGGTATTACTGGCATTCTATCCAAAATGGTTCACTTGTGCCAACATCTTCACTATTTTTTCAGACCTAGTTCTAACACTGGATTGTTCCACTTGGTTGTATGGCCACTTTGCAACATTTTGACTATAGTCAAATATATACTCATGTTGCTGCCTTCTTAATCATCTGAATCAAGAAGGTCTCCATTTCCTGTGTATCATTCAATTCTTGCTCCATTTAACTGTCACAGAACTCTGGCTCACATGGCCATTGTCAAAGTCATCATCATCATCATCAGTATCATCTACCCACACCACTCTTTCTATGGTAAAATAAAAGCATGTATTTTACCATAATGGATCATCTTCATCATCCATGCATGAGGATTCTGAGGATTCTTTTTCTTTTTTTCCTTCTTCTTTCTTTTCCTTCCTTATTTTTTTCCTCTTCCTTTTTTTTTTTTTTTTGTACTAGGGATCAAACTCACAACCTCATGCTTACCAGACAAGTGCTTAAGCTGCTGAGCTAAATCCCCAGCCCATGATGATTCATTTTTTACCTCCTCCAAAACTTGCAAATCTTGTTTTTCATGTGCTATTGTAATGAACTGGGCTATTTCCACCAGAAAAAAAAAAAAAAAAAAAACGTTTTAAAAACAAATCCTGGAGTGTAGGTCTACTGGACCTTCTGTGATGCTTGGGTAAACATGCACAGAACAAGTTAGATGGAACATAAGGTGGGTACAAATCTTGTTTTGTCATTTTTGCACACATGCACACTCCTTGCCATTCATCATACCAAGTGAGTAAACACATAGATTGGGGTTTCTGTATCACTGAGGGAAAAGGTACTGAGATGTACAGCCAGCTACTGCAATGGTAAAGTACAAATTTACAGTAGAAAAGTAAAGAATGGGTCTGTTGGACCCAGTCTATATGTCCCTTGGGCAGATTGAAGGGCACAGTATCACAGTGCTGGTTCAAATAACTTTTGTAGTAGCCTAAAACTACACCACAATGCTTACATCGTCCACCTTACTTCATCTTATCAGACAAGTACTATATCATCTCATACCATCAAAAGGGTCAGAACATAAGATTTATGAGCTAGACCACATTCCCATAACTTTTATTATAATATATCATAATAGTTCTTTTTTGAGTTGGATATGGGGGTACAGGTCTATAATCCCAGTACTTGGGAGGCTGAGGCAGGAGGATCACCATGAGTTCGAGGTCAGCCTGGGGACATAGTGAAACTCTGTCAAAAAAAAAAATCTCAAATTTAAATTTTCTAGTATATTTTATTTATTTTTTTGTTGTGTTGTTTTGTTTTGTGGTTCTGAGTATTAAACTAAGGGCCTCAAATATGTTCAGCCAGAGCCAAGGATACAACTCAGCAGCACAGCATCTGCCCAGCAAGCACAAGGTCATAAGTTCCATTTCCGGTACAAAAAAAAAAAAATGTTAGGCTAAGCATTCTACAACTGAACTGTGCACTTAAAGATGTGATATTCTGAAAGCATGGTGGTGCCCACCTGTAATCCCCACATTTGGAAGGCTAAAACAAGAGGATCATTGTTAGTTGAAGGCCAGCCTGGATACAAAGCAAGACTCTATCTTAAAATACATTCATGTATACATACATACATAAAATGGACCAGGTATAGTGGCACAAACCTGTAATCCCAGCACCTGAGACACTGAGGCAGGAGGATTGCCTAAATTTGAGGCTATCCTAGGCTACATAGGGAGTAATGCCAGACTGAATTACAGCAAGACCTTTTCTCAAACAAATAAACAAAATGATATCTAATATGGTAATTATAGTAGGCTCAGTGGCAAACATCTGTAATCCCAGCTATCTGAAATGCTAAGGCAAAAGGATCTCAAATTTGAGTCTATTCTTAACAATTTTTTTTTTATTTTTATCGGTTTTCATTTTTATCGGTACCAGGATCGAACTCATGACTGCCTGCTTGCAAGGCAGGCGCTTATGCTGCTGAGCTAGATCCCCAGACTCCTATTCTTAACAATTTAGTGAAACATTCTCAAAAAAGACAAAACAATAAATAAATTTTTTTTTTAAAAAATAGAGGCAGAATGCCCAATAATTACAGATTCACATGCTTGTCTTCAAACTACTTTTTCTATGCTTCACTATATATGCCTGGACCAATTGTGGTGATGTACATCTGTAACCTCCTCACTTGAGAGCTGAGGCAGGAAGATCACAGAGAGTATGAGGCTAGCCTGGGCTACACAGTGAGTTCAAGACCAGCCTGGATAATGTAGCGATCCTGTCTCAAAAAGAAAAACAGACAGAGAACAGAGAGAGAGAGAAAGAGAACAGAGAGAAAGAATGAATCAACAGCAACAACAAAAACTAAATGTTCGCTATAAGTTTTTTTCACTTCACCTCTACATTTTTATTTTTTACAGTGATCCTGAGGATGTAACCCAGCCATCACTGAGCTACAATCCCAGAGTATTTTTCTAATTTTGTGACTAGGTCTTGCTAAATCATCCAGGCTGACTGAAAAGTTACAATCTTTCTGCCTCAGCTTCCCAAGTAGCTAGGATTAACAGTGTGTCACCACCATGGGCTCTGTATTTGAAATCTTTACAAATAAAATCTTGGCCTGAAATTTAAATTCCTCATTAAAATAAGTATTTTATCTTGAGATAACTCCAGTATCTAATTTTGGAGAACCGTAAGTTATAGAATTGACATTTCCTTCCATTCTTTCTTGTACTGAGGATTGAACCCAAGGCCTTCACAATGAGCTACATCCCTAGCCCTCCACCTTTGTTTTTGAGGTAGAGTATTATACAATTCAGGCTGCCCTGGAACTCACAGAGATCTTCCTGCCTCAGTTTCCCAGGTGCTGGGATTATACATGCGCATCACCATGCCTGGTCCTCAGCCCTTTCTTAAAAACTTATTTTGAGACAAGGTCTTACTAAATCATTAAATAGCCCTTGCTAGACTTGAACTCACAATTCTCTTGCCTCACCCTCCCTAATGCTGACATTACAAGTGTGTACCACCATGCTCTGCTCATTATTTATGTTTCCTGCTCATTATTCAAATGTATACATTTTAGCTAAATTATATTCAAGAGTACTAGTAATGACTTATATTTACTTTATGTTTATACATCTACCCAACAACCCTGTTTATTTTTATTTTTTATTTTTTATTTTTTTGTCTTTTTCATTTTTACCAGTACCGGGGATCGAACTCACGACTGCCTACTTGCAAGGCAGATGCTTATGCCGCTGAGCTAAATCCCCAGCCCCCCAACAACCCTGTTTAAACACTATTTCTTATTCTTATTTTATTGAGGAGAAAAATATGAAGGAAATTAACCAAAATCATCCAGCTAGTATTTCAAGTGGTAAAGCAATAATCCAGACTGAGGCAGTCTGGCTCCAGTGCTGCACCCCTAACCACACCATTATACTGCCTCTGGAAAGCCAGGTCACCAGAACAGTAAGTCCTCAGGAGGGTGCACATATAGCTCATTGAAAAGGAGAAAAGACAAAAATGAGTGGCTCATCAGCAAGTAAGCTAAAGGTTTCTAACTTTACATAGTCTTACAGCCTAAAAAAAGCACTTACTCGGAAAAGCCTTTCCACTTCAGCAGATACTCCACTTGCCCCTTAACCACACGCCTGTCTAACACTTTCTCCACGACATACTCCTCCTCATCCTCTGAAGAAGAACTGTCAGCGGTCCTCTTGGTTTTCTTTCCCATGTCGTACACTGTTCCACCTGAAGGACTAAGGCCACGGGGTTCCTGCAAAGGAGAAGGACAAAATGGTTACTAGCTAAGTCAAAATTAAAAACTGAGCCAGGTATGGTGGTGCAAAACTATAATCCCAGCACAGGAGGCTGAGGCAGGATTGTTGCAAATCTGAGGCCAGCCTGGGCTACAAAGTGAGCTCAAGGCCAGCCTGAACTGCACATCGAGACCCTGTCTCTAAAAAAGACCAAAAAAAAGATTAAAAACTATCTTGATGGAGGAGGGTAGAACACCAAGTTGCCAGGCACCCTTTTCCCAGATCTATAACTGTTACACAGACAATTCCTAAGAATTTAATTTTAAAAAATGGGTCAATCTTCACTTGCAGTGAGTTATCTTTTCATTTTAAAGAGATCAAAATTATTAGATGGCATAGCTGTCAAGGTCCTATTTTCATATTCCAAATGATAAATAGTGTAGTATAAATCCTGGCTACTTTTGTGTTTATAAACACAGGGACTCAGAAATGTGCTAAGCTTTTAGGAAAATTTACAAAGACCGAGGAAAACCTTCCCCTCCAATGTAAATAAGGGCTTATAAATGAAAAGAATTAAAGTCACCAAAGTGTAACTTTAGTTGGAGCCTCCAGAGCAGACTTTTAAGCAGGGCAAAAAAAAAAGCCTGCTTAGGCATCTTTCATCATATTTTCAGAGACCTCGGTACATTTCCCTTACACAAACTAAGTTTGTCCCCTTTACAGCATCCATCAGCTCACAAAAGCAAAGCTGACATCTCAGACACACTAAGACTCCTTTTTAGCAAGCTCATTTGGGGATGGGAGAGAAGCAAGGGAGGAAAAAAAATTTTTAGTCTTAAAATGCACAATCAGTCACTGGATTATTCAGTAATTCCCAAAGCTCAACTAACCCAAATAGTTAAGGAGGTAACTCTCCTCTTAACTGAAGTTGACTTTGGGCCAAAGAAAGGGGAGGAAGGAAAAAAGTCTGGCTCCAGACTCGGCTGTCAACATGAAGGCTCCTCAAAGCACAGAGGGGCTATTCATAGGCCCAAGGAAGCTGAAGCACGGCAACACAAGCGGAAATTGAGTTAAACTCAGAAATATGCACATCAGGGGTGCTCAACAGAGCATTTAGTTTAGTTTTGTTTTCTTAGTTTGCACGCTGTCTTTCCCATAACCATTTTTAGGAATTCTTCCTTCACCATGTTAAATGATGGTACCTATGGTCTGGATTATAGAGTACCAGGAGCCGTTTTCTTAGCTGAACCTCACTTCTGTACTGCTGTAATCTTTGAAGATGTTTTTTCAGCAAGCTATAAAATATTTTCATCTTGACCAGAAAACTACTCATAGGAATATAAAAGGCCACTGGTCTCAGAATTATGTTCAAGAGAACACAAAAAGTTGTATTAGTAAATTTTAAGAAATTATTACAAGAACATATTGTTGGAAACTACATCTCTAGAACTTACCAGCGATAGATAGGCCCACCTGAAAAACTGCCTGTACCCATTACTACCCCATAAGAAAGCTAAGTTTTCCTTAACAAACTTTATTTGGCAGAGGAGGTATGGGACAATGTTGGCAGGGGGCTTTAATATAATCTTTCCATGAATTTATGAGACTGCTAAGCTTCAAGAAAATCTATGATTTATTTTATCTAAAATTCTGTCTCCAACCTCACCAGAGACAGGAAATGTCATATTCCAGGGAGAGTACCCCGCCCCCACCCTCACTCACCTTGGAATTTCCGGGAGCTGAGCAGTTTAGGTCACAGCACTGGTGTTAAAACCAGCCCCATGTTAGATGCATGCAGTGAAGCATTGTGGCTACGGTCTCCCCTGCTTCACCAGGAAAAACAGATTTACATATGTGTTCTTCAGTTTGAGGAAGGAAAGAGAAAAATTTTCCTTTATACCTTCATGCAGAAGAAAGGCCCCCAAATTAAATGAATTGGGGTTCCCTCCTTTACCTACCGGATCGCCCCAGTTCTTTCTTTCCCTCTGGGCTAAAGGAGGGGCTTTCCCTCCCAGGTCTGGGGCTTGGCGGGCTGGCAGCTCCCCCGCCCCCACCCAGCTGCCAGGGCTCCACTGCGCAGCTGTCCCAGTCCGTTGCCATGGCAACTGGCAGCCGTACCAGACTAAGCGCGGGGAGAGGCAAAAGAAAAAGTTAAAAGGCTTAACTTTCCTTTTCAGTGAAGACTGGGTGGTAAAGTTGGAAGGTACCTCCCTTGGCTTCAAAGCTAAGACATTCAGAGTTCAAGGGAATGGTTTCTTGGGTTTTAAATCCAAAAGCCCTGCAAATTAGTCAATAGCGTTTTAAGATCATCTAACAAGATTACAGCTCACTAGAAGGGGGAGGGGAAAGACTAGGTTCTAAAGCAGGCTCCGTAAAAACCACCCCTAGAAATCTACCCACAAGCAGCATTTTGGGCAGGGCCTTTTGTACCGTCTGTCATTGTACAGTTAATTAAAATCGGTGGGGGGGGTAACAAGAGGGGGAGAGAAAGTATTTTAAAGAAACAATATAACTTTCTTTCTTGGGAAGGTTAGTGGGTACAGAACTAGAATCCAGAGATTTGAAACAATGACCAAAGGATCATGAAAAAAAAACCCAAAAACAAAACCAAAAATCTTTCAACTGAAATTACAGGTGGGAATAATTAATTCCTAAGTACAATGCTTACTAAAAGGAGGAACAGGCCCACCACCACGACTTTTAAATTAAAACTTGTCATTGGTTGTTCTTGTAACGTTATAAAACTGATTTCTTAGTAATTATTCCATCTGATACATTATTAATACACAATTCTCTACATCAGTAATCTCTCATACTACACTTGAGAAGAGGAGAACGGGATAAAGAAGTGAGATACAGACTATATTCTACACATTTTTCTTTCACCTGGCCCTACCTCCAAAATCCTAATGTGCTTTGCAATGGAGAACTTTCATTCTCCACAGTGGAAGGGCCCCAGGCTTCACAGGTGCTAAGCAAGTGCCCTATCTGAGCCTGTACACCCCCACCTGAAGTAGCTGCCTTAGGAGGGAAAGGACAAAGGAAGATCAAAAGCAAAGAATGCCACTTAAGGAAAAGCAGAGTGTGGCCATTATTTGGCTCTCAGAGGAAACAATAGGTTATGAGAACAAAGTAAAAATCTTTAATTACAGGGGATTTCCTCAAATATGAAAAGATCTATCAAGCAACCTGAGTAAAAACTGCCCTTTCCAATTCTTACTTTTTCTTAATCTTATGTAATTAAGGGGTGGGGAAACAAAGCCAAAGACATTAAAACAGCTGGGATTACAGGTGTGCATACTGGGGGAGCTGAGGCAGGAGGACTGCTTAGAGTTCAAGGCCAGCCTGGGATATACAGCATTACACTGTCGCAAAAAAAGTTTTTTAAAGTAAAAAATTAAATATGAGTCTGGTTCTGTGATTAACGTGCCATGTAGGGTCTTGAATGTTTAGATCTTACCCTGGCATCATTCAAGCAAGCCAAATAAATTCCACTGCCTACCTCCTAGGGAAAGAGTGAGTTTGTGTTGAAACCAAAGAGCTATTATATCCCCCAAAAAGAATTTTTTGTAAAACTATGTTAGGGCCAATACAACAGCAGAAGGAAATATGTGACCTTCCAAATTCCTAAACTGGTAAACCATGTCACATGCAGCTCAACATGGTAGCAGATGGCAAGAGAAAGAGGAACCCTTTTTAAGGCTCTGGCAAACTAATAAAGCCTTAGAGAACAGAGTAGGTTCTCTCAAGGGTAAAGTACAATACTTAGAAAGCACTGGCAAAATGAAAGACTAATGCTAATTCTGTGAAGGGATAAAGGACAGGAAAAAAATGACAACTATGGTAACATTTTGATAAAATGTTTAAAGTAAGAAAAGGGGTTTCAGAATCTGGATGTGGTGATGCACATTTGTAATTGCAACACTCTGGAGGCTGAGGCAGGAGGATTACCCAGAGTTCAGGAACAACCTGAGCTACAAAAATGAGTTCAAAGCCAGCCTGAACTCCATAGTGAAATCCTGTGTTAAAAAGAGAAAGAAAGAAAGAAAGGAAAAAGGAAGGGAAGGGAAGGGGAAAAAAAGAGAATTCAGGCTGGAGATAGAGCTCATCCTTAGAACTATAATACTTGGCATGTTTAAAAATGAGGTCCTGTATTTGATCCCCCATACAAGATGGAAGGGAAGGAGGAGAAAATTAAATTGAATCAGGAAAGGAACAAAATATGCTAGTGTCCAGTTTCTCTTAAACATCAGAAAATAAGAATTCAGATCATCTCCCTCCTCATCCTTAAACTGCGTAAAAAGGACAGGGGCTGAGGTCCTTCTCGCTTTGGGAAATGGGCTTTGTAACAGCCAACAAATCGAATTGGGCCTACTGCCAGGAGTCAGAGTCCAACCATAATATTCTTTAAAGAATGGTACGCAGTTGTCTTGTAAATCTCCTGGACAGTCACAGATCAGAAGCTGGCAAGGATGACGACATAGTTCTGATGGAATGTGTCTTATCTTAACCTTGAAGTTACAGATCTGCTCAGGAGCTGCAGGAAGAAATGAGAAATGCACCCAGACAGAGGAGAAAACATAATTCTCTTTTAGACAGTGCGACCCAGTGTATTAGGGTCAAATGAAACACAAAGCCAGATGGACAATTTAAGGGCTAGAGCCTGGACCAGATAAAACATCCTGCTGGTGGCTCACACTGAGCTTGGGAGGGAGTGTTCCCATGTGAGAAATGAGACCTGAAGGCAGGATGATGGAATGATTAAGGTAGAATCCAGATACCATGACAGAAAAAGAGAGGAGTGCAACCTTATCCTTGTGGAAATCTTCATGGAAAGGGGTGAGCAGCTTCTCAAGTTTCTAGAATCTTTCAAGCAAGACAGCTCTAAGCCCTCTCTCAAATACAGACAGAACTGTCTGGTAAAAGTACTAACCACTATAGATAGATTTCAGCAACTAGAGCCCATAAAACCCCAGAAAAGAGAAGCCCAAATAATCATATCCATGGCCAAATCTCG